TCAAAGCCAAAAAATCTAAAATTAATAATAATAATAATAATAATAATAATAATAATAATAATAATAATAATAATAATAATAATGATAATAATAAAGTATGTATGTGAAATCGATTGAAGGGAACATAAATGAAAACTAAAACACAACTCTATTTCGGCTACTTCTTGAACATAACTAGAAATTGTGTTGGTGATCTAAGCTATTAAATTATAATAGATAAAAGATGACCAAAGGAAAATGAGAGTCGCAATGAACTTTATTCTCCTGTTGGGAGCCAACACCTAGGCATTCTCCTGTTGGGAGTCTTTTGTTTTGTGATTGTGTTTTAGTTTTTTTTCTCTCGTTGGGAGTCAGTTTCTAGTTGTTTGTGTTTGAGTTTGGTTTTCTTCTGGCGTTGCCAGCGATTCTAGGCGGACTTCGGTCTAGCCTCCCAGTTTGTAATTCCGCACTTTTGTGCGCCTTTTATATAGTACTTTTATCGTTTTGGAAAAAAAAAAAAACAAAAAAGAGAGTCGGAATGAACAAACTAATATTTTATATTCAATAACCACTTATTATTATTAGTGTTATCATTATTATATATTAGAGATGAAATTAAATAGGTGAGAAAAAACAAAAAGTCCTTGTGTATCAAAAACAAGTGTGAGCAGAAATTTCAATTCAAATACAGTGAGAGGTGAACCCATTAATTGGGGGTATTTAATTGCTCTAGGCCAAGAAAATAATAACTTTGAATTCGTGTCAATTATGTCGCGCCTAGTAAACCATAATTTTTAATATATTATAAATACATAGTAATTTATTTAAATAGACCCCATTTTATTAATGGGTCCTAGGCCATCGCCCAGCTTGCTCTGGCCCAGGACCGGGCCTGTCTAACAACAACGCTGCCACATTTGTCTTGTGTTATGAAGTAATCGTAAGCCGAATCAAAAAGAAAAATAGAAAAAGAATTACGTACTCTTTGCAAGAAATCCAGAGGCTCCAGTGACGAGAATGGACTTATTCTCCAAG